GTACAGGAATTAGCTGCTACCTTCTGGAAACAGGAGCAGAAGATACAGCAAAACTGATTGGTTTTGGCAGTTCACACATTTTTAGAGAAGAGAACTAAATATAGAAACGTGGCAGTAGGACTGGGAGGTTTTTGGTTTTGTCTTGTAAGACTTTTATTCCCAGCTCTGAAGGAGTGATTTGTGTAACCTTTCAGTGCGAGGTCTTGCATTTGTAATGGGGAAGAGAATAACAGAATAACATCAGACCCTCAAAGTGAGGCTTGAGATGATTTTTCTGGCTGACTGGGCAGGACCTTTCTAGGCTGAAAGCATTTGGTGAGAGGAAGCAGCAACAGCTGTTTTGCCTGCAGAGTCAGTTTTACACGTTGGTGCAACTGAGGGGACAACTGCAGTTGAGGGCAACGTTAAATGGGCAGCTCAGGGTTGCCATGAGATAGTTCTTGTTCCCACAGGTGTGTGTGACATGGCTGGAAATACCTGTAAAGAATGGCTGTTGATGTGCCTTTGCAGGTTGGGAACTGTCCACCTATCCAAGGATCCTGCTGGAATGGTAGCAGCGACAGCAGAGACACGTTGGGGAGGGGTGTGCAGTGCTCCTGGTGATGTGTCTGGTGTGATTTTGAGGGATGTAGGAAGTGGAGCTGTGCTAGCCTTCTTGCTGCTGATATTTCCTCCTCCTGTCATGGTTTGACTGGATTAGGAATGCTGGAATGCTGCAGACCATGGATGGCAGAGCTTGCTGTGCCCTGTAAATAGTGAGGAACTCATTAGTGCTCAGCGATAATTTTTTTATCACTTGGATTTTCAGTCCTGCTTTAAGTACTCACTAGTGAAATATGGATTTTGCAGGAAAGATATCAGGAAGGATGTAAGTGTTGTGCCCAAGGCCTTGTGTGGGGTTGGATAAAGCAGTAAAAGCTAGAATTGCTCTGCCTGCATGTGAGATCCTCTCTCGTCTCTCACCTGGTTGATGGAAGCGTTGGAGCTCTCCCTGGGTGAGCAGAGCAGGATTGTTTGTGCTGGGGGGGGCATTCCTCAGATGTGTTTTTTAGACAAGAATATGGAAATCTCGTCTCTAAAGTGACTGTGAAAAGCTCGAGTTTTCCACGTGTTGTTTTGGGGTGCTGAGCAGTGCCGTGGCACACCACCCTGTGTTCCTGCAGGGAGCGAGGGAGCAAAGACATTTTATCTGGAAAATGAGGGTATGGTGTACAGGCACTACCAGTTAATGGTAGAGGACATTACTCTGGTTGTGGGAGCCATTGTTGGACTAATTTTGCACTCAGATGGGACAAAGTCGGTTGGTCAACAAGGGAAGGATTTTGAACTGGGAGTCAGTCTGATACCAGTTCCCTTTTGGTTTGGAAATCTTCCAGGCAGTGGAATTAGTTATGTTGTAACTTTCATTGCTAGATTTAGTAGTTGGGTTTCTTTGTTATATTTGTTTGTTTTAAGGTTTGGTTTCAGCTTTGGAAGGCGGAGGTACCTAGTTCATTGTAAAGTTAATTGAACTCGATTTGGTTGTTGCAGCCAGAGAGTTGCTTGGCAGGACTCTGTCAGACTTCAAGGATTTGTCAGTCTTTTCATTCCTTTGGGTTTTGGCTACAATGAGTAAATTACTCCAGCACCAAAGAGCCAAATAAACAACCTAAGGACTGCAAAAAAATGTAGGTAGCTTTGCATGTTACTGGAAACTACAGGAAATATTGATAGAATGCATGTATTGGATTCATCGTTGTAAAATTGTAGAGCCTTTTTGAAAGCTGAGTTCATTGAGACACTTACTGAAGAAAAAAATATAATAAACCTGACAATTTACTAGAAAATACATTTTTTAAAGAGGAAGTCTTATATAATGATTATTATGTCTGCCCTGATTAATATGCGTGGTTGGAAAACAGAGGCAAAAAAGGGAAACCTTTGTTTCCCAATGCATGTTTAAACTGACTGGTGTTTTCAGTTGCCTGCTTTATATTTCTCTATAGGTAATTTTAACTGTGCCAGCATAAATTTATGTCATCTTTAAATATAGATGTGCAGGTTCAAAAAGCTGCAAACATGCAAAGGTCATTAAAATTGAGACTGAATGAAAACATCAGACTTTTTTTTTTAAACTAAAATAGAAGCACGTTAAAGGACTGTGGTGTGTTTATTATAGTTTAAATAACCCAAAATGCCGACATATGAAATGTTCCTCCCCCTGCTCTTCTGTTCCTCACTGTAAAGGCGACAAAATGGGAATATGTCTCAAGCTTTCAGGATATTTTTATCAATGGCTTTATTCTCAAGCTGAAGAGGCAGAGGTGTTTCTTTTACTAAAACCAGAATAAACATGAAGGTTCATATTTGTGTAGTCAGTAAGGATCAATGAATTTTCCACAGTTCTGAGCGTGCACAGCCTGTTATTACTCACTACAGGGCCTTATTTTATTTCCAACCCACTCCTCAGCAATGTGGGTGATTAATTTAAGGCTGCCCTTTGGAAGGAGGTGGTGGTGTTTCTGGGAGTGAGAGGAATGTTACTGGTGATGGAAGTCGCAAGGCAGCGATCCCAAGGCCGGTCAGGGTTTCCTGCTTCAGCTGTGTGGGCTGAGGAAGCAGGAGTTAGGACATGGGAGCAGGATACCCAGCAGGGCTGTGCTGGATGGGTGTGAGGGACACAGCTGCTTGGGCTGTGGAATGGAGGGCTGTTATTCCCTGTAACACAATGTGCAGGATTGTGCCATTTCTTTTTGGGCTCCTGCCTCTAAGCTGTTCATTTTCTGGCTTGTCAGCACTGACAGTTCTTGTTTTTTTATTATCACAAGAGAGCAGAAGGGCAGCTGTGTCTCTTCAGATGGTGCAGTCTGGAGCAGACCACACGGATGGGTTTTTTCCAGCCCTGTTCTGCAGTTCCCTCTTTGGCACAGGGGCACAGAGAGCCCCCCAGGCCCTCGCAGCTCCCTGGGTGTCAGGTCTGCCCCCACCACCACGTCAAGGCTGTGGGTCCAGTCACCTCTGAAACAGTTCCTTTATATCCTTCACCCCATACTTTCTTTCAGGCTAGGACTTTGCTTTTCAAATAAGTTCCCTCTGAGGAAGTATCCTTTTCCCAGTCTGTGAAAGCACTTCCCTGGAGTGGGTGTGTGCTGCTGGTTACTACAGCTGAGCATGCACAGCCCAACAGTTGTGAAGGGTGAGAACTAGGTTAAAAGAGAAAATTAAACAGAAAAATCCCATGTAGCAGTTGTGCAGGATGCCTTAAACATCTGTGGGAAATAGCTCACGTGGAGCACACATAAATTTTCTTAAACTTCTTTAGAAAGCTCTTCTGAAAAACAAGGTTGCCCAGTATCCTGCTAGAATTAGATAATCTGAAGATCCAAGCTGGATAGGTTTCCTTTGAGGTCCAGTTAGCATAGGCATGTGTGTACAAAAAATACACCTTTTTCTTCAGCCTGGTTCCCACTGTAGTGAACTTCTCCATTTCAGAGATCTGAGCACTGCCTTTATTTTGTTGTGTAGGAAATCAGCTCAGAACTGAATTCAGTCTGATGCTGGGTTTGTTTATAACAAATCTTACCAGTGTGTGAAGTGGTTGCTTTATGTTGTGGACTGGGCTTGCCGTTCCCCTTTAAACCATAGCAAGGGGCAGTGTCTCTAGTGAAGAAACACTGTTTTGGAAATGGCACAAATAGCATATATAACATCTTTTGTTCCTGAAAAATTCAGACTAACTTTGTGTCCTGGTGAAACTGGAGAGTTTTTCCACCAACATGGCTGTGGAAAATGACCCCCTTTAAACCATTAGTGTTAGAGTGGTACCTTTAACTCCAGATGAACCTCTCTCCTTTGTTAGTATTTGTTTTGCAACAAAGTGGCTTACTAATTATATGGTAATTAGTGGCCAATTAAATGGCCAATGAGATGGCAGCATATAGAGAAAAATTTAAATTTGATGCTACTGTTGGTAGCATGAAGTACCAAGTACTGGAAGAACTAGTTGTATGCAACTGTGAGTCTAATTGGAACTGTAGTATCCAGAGGCAAAAAAGTGTTCATGGTGTACAGTTTGGTAAATAAACAATGATGTGGTATAGTAGGATGGAAATAATAATTTAATGTTGCACTGTTTTGTTTAGAATGGTGCACTTCCATTTAGGTGCTGTGTCTGGTGCAGGTCACGTTACCTCCTCCTGCCTTGATTTTCCTACTGCCTTTGTGCAATGCTATTAAAGCTCAGAAAAACCTGCCTATGAAATTAAGTATTTAAATATTAGAGTTTGAACATATCCCATGTTTTAAAATCATGCAGTTGGTATTCACTGCCATTGCTCAGCTGCAGTGCTCCATGCAACTCCTTATATTACCCCCGGACCTGTAAAAGGGGAGAATGGAACAAATTATTTTGGTTTCTCCAGAACTTGCATTTTCTGGAAGAATAGGATGGCAGTTGTGTGCTTTATTACATTGAAGATTATTGAATCTGTCACATTGTGCTGTTATTTAGTGGTAAAGTTGTGTCTGCTGCGATTAGTCAACTCCTTGATTGGTCTTTTGGGTAGAGAGATGTTACTAGTGGGTGTAGTGGTACCACAGGGGCAGTCTGGTTTATTATTTAAACTTACAACTTCACTTCCATCAAGTTAAAGTACCTTCTGTTGCAGTTACACACTTGCACAGCTTCTGACTGCTCTGTGAAGTTCAGTCACATAAAACTGTGAGCCAGGGAGTCTGAATTAGTGTAGTGCCATTGAAACATAAATGTGTTAAATATGGGAGGTAATGCAGAACACATAATTTTTTAATTATTTTTTTTTTAATGACGCAAAGTGCCCAAACAGAATTGTAAAAACTGAATGCAAGAATATGATCAAGCTGTTCTGGGACCATCATTCTAAATTTCATGTGGTTTAATAGTCGTGCTACTTGAAAATTGTCCTTTTTTGTTGACAGCGCTTTTTATTTGATGCATGAGTGTTTTGGAATCACATCTAACAATTTTTTTCTCTCTCTTACAGACTGGACTTTGACATTCTTTTCATGAAAGAGGTTTCCAAGTAGTTGTCTTATAATAACTTTGAGAAGAAGTTCTATGTAGCTCTTACTTTTAAGAGTGCTGCAAAAATGATTACTTCAGATTTGCCAGTACTACAGTGAGTATACGTTTCTCTCTGTATTTGAAATCTTTGCTTTTAAAAAGGTTGAAGTAAACAGAGAGGTGATTGTGAGGATAAAGCACAAGCTTGAGAGAAGTGCAGGTTAGTGTGACTGTACCAGGCCTTCTCTGTTTTCATACACTGAAAAACTGTGTAAAAGAACATAAACCACTTAATCTAAAAGGTATTTCTTTCTATGTATGGAGATTTAACTTTTGCTGTGAAAAGCAAAACAAGATCTCTGCTACTTTTATGCTTCTGAATGTTGTGAGATTTCAGAAGCATGTCTTGGTTTCGGTCCTAACCGACCATGTTGTATGTTCCTGTTGTGCACTTTCTTACGATGAGCTGGATTTATTGTGCAAAAAGCCTTTCTTTGGCTGCTGCAGTTGAAGACAGCAAGTGGCTTGGGCATGTTTTGGTCTTGCTGGGAAATAGGAGTGGCTTTTACACATGGGAACATGGCTGGGCCTGGAGAAAGTGAGCTACTGGGAAGAACAGAGTGGAAGTTTGTAATGAGAGGTGCTGGAGAGTAAATCAAGTAGAGTTAGGAAGGAATTTTGGAGGGAGGAACCTGCTCCCCTCCTCACAGGGCAGGGGGGGAACACGAGGTGAAGAAGCTTGTGGGGCGAAGTAATGACAGGGAAATAACTACAGGCCAAACAGGCTCAGCTTGGGGAAAATTGATTTATTGCTGATTAAAAAGGATTTGGATGATGGTGAGAAACAAAGACAAAACCCACAAAGTGTTTCCTCTTCCCTGTCCTTTCCCCAGTTCCCCACTTGCTCCCCTCAGAGCCCCCCGCCCCGCTCCCTTCACGGATCACTCACCTCACAGAGCCCCCTCCTCGTCCCCTCACAGAGCCCCCTCCTCGTCCCCTCACAGAGCCCCCTCCTCGTCCCCTCACAGAGCCCCCTCCTCGTCCCCTCACAGAGCCCCCTCCTCGTCCCCTCACAGAGCCCCCTCCTCGTCCCCTCACAGAGCCCCCTCCTCGTCCCCTCACAGAGCCCCCTCCATCCCCTCACAGAGCCCCATCCCCTCACAGAGCCCCCTCCTCATCCCCTCACAAAGCCCCCCTGTGCTCACCCCACTGCCAGCGCCAGGCATCTGCACCAGGTGTGTTCAGTAACTATCTAATGTTAATTTTTTTTTTCTTTTTGAAATGTTTTTTAATGTTGATCTTTTTTTTTTTTTTACCATGGGATGTGGAGGGGCCTCAGTTTATCAGGATTGAGTGGCGTTTCAAGCTAACATTTCAAGTCCCCTTATTTAAGAAACTGAATGCTTGGACAAAAAAATCGTTTGTATGCTCTTACTCATAACATGCTCTGCATTACAGTTTTATAATTATTTTTTTTTTTTATTTTAAAGAAAGTTGGTTGTGGATGAGCACAGGGTAAAGCCGGGGATGATGTCGATGGGCAGCGTCAGCCTGGGGGGTTCTGATTAGCTTTGGGATTAGTTGTGGAAAAAAATCTTCCGGGTTCATATTTTCCTGGATGTGCCACATTCAAGAAGTGAGAGAATATTTGTGAAATATGCCAAGGATCGAAATTTGTGAGGTTCTGTCATGGCCGTGGTAGGAAAGGGATATTCCCGTCCCCAGTTTGAGAACCCAGATGGCCTTAAGAAGTGAGTGAAATATCATAGAGTTTAAGGTTAAAAGTGCTCACCAGCTGAAAAACCTGAGGGACATTAAGGGTATCAGCATATTCTTTAATTAGAAGATGATTGTGAGCCACCAATACAATGAAAGATTAAAAAATGGAAGAAAACATGTATCTATTTTTTTTTCTGGTAGAACTGGGAAGCATTTAAATGACACTGTGCAAAGTGTTGGTGGGTAAGATATCATCAGCAGTAATATCTGCAGTTTTGATTGCTTGTGAACAAGATGAGATCTTTCTTTTTAGAAAAAAAAAATCAGCAGGATTTGCACATGAAGGTTTTGAGACTCCCCTGAGGGCTCAGAACATTAAGTCTAGTGTGGACGATGTGTCAGAGAAAGGGATAAGCACTAATTCAGAAGGTCCCAACCAGGCTTTCATCAGGAAGGAGTCTGGCTAAGGGTGAGGAAACCTGAAGCAATCCTTGGGTTAGGGGTATTTGCTTCACACATTCAGATTTGGGAAGCCACAGTCTGGTTCCCCCCAGAAAGCCAAGATTTTCTTTCTAGCTCTTAAATAAGCTGCTTTGAAGGATTATTCTGATCTCCCACTTCTGTGCCTTATTTCTACTTTTTAATAACATTTTCTAATCTTTTTGGCTACTCTCTTTAAACAGTTTGATATATTAATATACTTTACTTAGGACCATATCAGATACTCCCCTCCAGAATTCTTCTCTGTTGAGGGAACATGAAAGGAGAAATCTGTAACCTTTCTGCATTCATGGAATTGGCTTCAGAACCCAGTGAAGACATGATTTCTCTTATTGGTGTTTCAGATGTTTGGAGAAAACCTGTGGTGCATTTGAGCCGTGTGATGGACAGTTCTGAGTCTTCTCTCAATGGGATGACTCATGTTTGCTGGGAGGCATGTTCCTCTTTGGAGTGTGGAGGATCAACCATGAGAGCTGATTCATCCATGATTCATGAGCCTGTGCATTTAGCCATTTTTCTTCATCAATGCTTTTTTTCACAAGGCTGAATCTGGTGGTGGTAGCAATTACTGAATTTATCTCTGCGGAACCTTGAGCCACCTCAGCAACACTGATAAAAGCTTATAGAAGTGGTTTTATTTACAAAAACCGATACATAAACTCAGTTTTTTGCTGTGGTGTGTTTTTAAAGGGGCATGGTGTATAAACTCCATAGCTAGTGCTTTACGTGATAGTAGAAGGAAGGTAAATTTGTTTTCATTTATTTTGCAGAGATGTGAAATTTACTGTGTTTATGGAAATATGTTCTTCAGAAGCATGACATGGTAAAAGGCTGCCCAGTAATCTGTTAATTCTTTATTAACATATGGATAGTTTCAATGGCTAGTTATTAAAACTCCAGAGTAATATCTGCCACTTTTCTAGGATGCTTTAGTCACCACAGAAACCAGAAAGCAAAGCGGAGTGAACTTGAGCTCCTAAAAGGGGTTATCACTTGTGTGCTTTGCTCTGCTCACCCCAGTTCTGTAGGTCCCCCACACTCTGCCACATTCTCTCATGTCTCTCATGTCAAAGGAGTCTTGGAAAGATTTAGCCTTAGGCACTGCCAGCTTCTCCTCTTCTCCGATGAGGCAGGTCTCCTTAGGCCCAGATTATCTTCCCTCACGACAGCTTCAGGAAAGATAAATGGTGACTAAGCCAAAGTTTCCCCCTCAGGTGACTGGTCACACCCCCGTGGAATGAGGACAGGATAATTCTGGTCTATTAAGATGTGGATAACTGCCACCAGATAAATTGCTTCCCAGCAGTTCTGCAAGACGTGTAGGGAGTGAGGGAGATGGATGCTGGCCAGCTGCTCCTCTCAGTGAGTGTTACAGACCTGACAGACCTGCAGGCAGCTGGGAGATGCTTTGCTCCTGCTCTGAGTTCAGAAAGAGGAGGAAAAGGGCACGTGTGTGTACCCTGAACAACTGCAAGGCTGGGACAGGAGCAAGAGGCACAGCTGAAGGAACTCAGGGCCCCACTGCAAGGGTGTTTTTGTGCAGGAGTTGCCTGATTCAGGCAGAATTCCCTGCTGCTTGAAACGATGTTTATTTTAATGTTAAATCGGCCAAGGACTGTAGGTTGTCCTTGATTCTGTCTCCCTACTTCAAATAAATGCCAGGATTGAAGGGAATTTACTTTGTGATGTTCTCCCCTTGCTCCTTAAGTATTTAAATTCTTTGAAAGAAATCTCCTGTCTGCCTCACTGTTGTTAGGATGAGATTCATCTTGTTTAATTTTAAACATTTATACTTGAGCTGCTTGTCTAGGTCAATGAAGAGAAAATAAAATTTATAAAACTTAAACTGTTTGACCAGTTTTGGACACTGACCTTAGCATGAAGCATGTTGCACCTTAAGATTTTCTGTTCTGCATTGTATGCATCTCAAATTTAGATTAGATGAATCTCACCCTTAGTACTGATTTATTGAGCCTTTCCCAAAAAGGGAAAAAGCCAAAAAGGCTTCCAGCAAGCCAGAGAAGTCATACCAGAAGAATATCAAGAGAAGCAGGCTTAAGACAACAGTCTGTTTAAGGCAAAGAAGAGAGGACAGTTAATAGTTTAACTGTTTCTTCCATATGCAGTGTTTGGAAACAATTGAAATGTCCAGAACTAAATACACACGTCTCCAGAGGTTTTGCTAGACCCGAACCAAGGCTGTAGCAAAGTCAGATTTTCTGTGGACAAGGTGCATGTGAAGTGGTAGTAGAGTTTAGTTTATTTATATAGCTCTAGTGTTTCAAGGGAAGGGTTTGAGCAGTTTGCCTGGGAGGATTGTTGAATCTGGTTTTAATAGAGAGAAATCTTTATATCCCAATGATCCTGGGGGTGCAGGTGGGTAAGCTGGAAAAGCACAGTATTTCTCCAGGAATGGGGGTATTGCTTAGACACACACCATGCCTAAAACTTTTCCAGTAAGGATCTGAGCAGACCAGAGAGAAGCTTGGTTTTCTTGCAGAGAGCAGGAGAGAATGGTTTTAATTTCTCTACAGCAGTAGGCAGCAGCAGATATTTTTATGGGGTTCCTCACTATCCAAAAGGTATTAAAATTGCCACTGTGAGGCAATATGCATTTTGTCACGTGGACTCGCAGTGTGATGAGGTCTTTGAGTAAAGGCTGGATACAGCCACCCCCATAAACAAGTTCTCAGCAGTGTTCACTGCGTGGCTTTTCTCTGCTGTGGCCCTATTTTACCAAATCATTTTGAAGTCTGTGTGGGGTATCTATTATTTGGCTTTGGGCTTTTTACGTTTTTGATTTTTTTTTTTTTTTCAAATCCATAGCTCGATACTCAATTTTTCAAACCTCGTATTTTCTGAAGCAGAAAACCTACTTTTTAATTGTATCAAAACAAAGCTGCATTTTCAGTATTTTGTAGAGATGCTGTTTTACAAGCATGTTATTTGTGAACTCAAATGTACCTGAATACTGTTTTTTAATCTATGGTGCCTGGTTTTCTGGAGCGTGTGGAGTATTTAGAGATAATCCATTGAAGTTACTTCCAGAAAAAGAGGTTCATATATGTTCTTCTGCATTCTGGCTTTGGTAGAGGATTCTGTGGACTCCTGGGTGTTCTTGTGCTTGCAAATTGGAAAAAGTTGAAAAACAAAGTCTTGATATTGGAAACTCATCCTAGTTGTGTGGAATGATTTGAGGGAGAGCAGACCTAGACAATACAGGAATTTCAGTGGAGTATCAGAACATTCCTGATTCTGATACAGTAATATCTTTCTGCATTATTAAATAGCTTTCTCGGTCCCACCGCAAATTTGTGGATTCCTGATCTATGAACCAAAAAATAACCCCCAGACACTGTGGAAGATCTGTGTAGATCTCAGCTCGCTGAAGCCTCTCAGTTTCTGGAAACCAGATCACTGATCTGCTTTTTGTGTCTGAGGCTCTATTAAACACCACATAGGTCTGGTTTTCACCTGCCCCATCTTTGAGTAATCCAGGACGTTTTTAGTTGTTAATTAAAAGGTGCAGAGATCTCATGCACTGGTGGTCCTGCACAGTACAGATAAAGCCTGGCAGTAACAGGTGTCGTTTTGCATGTGGGCAGGATCTCGTGCCTCGGGAGATCAGCTGCCATCTGATTCCTTCAAGCAGCCAGGTCTGTTGGGAAGGCAGAGAAGTACCTGTGCATCTGGCTGGGGACATGCTGAAAATTGGGGGCATTTTTTTTTCTCCTACTTAGTATGGTCTTAAATCTGAAACAGCAACGAGTGAAAAATGACAGTGTGGGCTTCTCTGCTAACAGGCATTGAGCAGAGTCAAGGCTTTTCCTTTGTACAAGGGAAAATATCTTTGTAACTGCAAAAATCATAAATGTGTTCAAACCAAAGGGAGTTTTCTGGGCCTCCCAGTCAGCATTAATCCTCTTGATTAACAGCTGCAAGTCCTGGGGGTGACTGCAAACAGTGTAACCCGAGTGAAACTCGTGTAACTGTCCCAGTGAGGTGGCAGCTGCACTGACCCCACAGGGCTGTCTGTGGCCCTGAGAGAATGGCAGCAGTCACGGAGAGGGAAAGGAAGTTGATCCTGGTGAACACATCGTGGGATGGATGTATTGAGGATGTGCTGCTTAATATGGCCAGTTTGGAAACATAACACGGTTTCAAGTGAAGCTGTTAATTTAAAGAACTTCCAGGCAATAAAATGACATTCCAGCCCATGAAAAGGTAAGGCTGTTTGCCAGGGCTAACAATGCTTGGTTCCTCGGTTTGCAGAATGAATGTGGCAAGCCTTTGAATGCTGACTTTGTTTGTCTGTTTTCTGGCTTAGGACTAAGTATTGAATCAGTGGGTTATAGATGACTTGTTGGTTTCAAATCATTTGAATTTATCTAGTGTTTTTCCCCCCTAGGGATTCTACGAACGAAACTACTGCACATTCAGATGCTGGCAGTGAGCTTGAAGAAGCAGAAGTCAAAGGAAAAAGAAAAAGGGGCCGTCCTGGCAGGCCTCCAGTATGTGTAATTTAGTTTTGCTTTGTTATGCATCTATTTAAAATTGACTGCAAACTGTTTTTCATCTGATCATCTTGTGGTCACATAAATAGGCTTTTATTGAGTTCTGTGTCAAACTTTATGAAGACTTGTAGTATGAAATATTTATCAGATTGATATGCAAACAGTGTTTGGAGTGTCTAAAAAGGGACATAAAAATGATCTCATGATAGCTATTAATTTTTCTTTCACTTGCTGCTCACATGGACATTAGAGTTTTGTTTTTATTGCCATATTGCATCGTTCTTGCAGACATGAGAACATATCAGTAAGCACAACCACTTTCTGTTTGAAGGTTGTAATGGATTTCAAGTGACAGATGACATTTGAGCCATCCTTTCAGTAAATGATAATCTCTTGATGGGAAGAGTTGCAGCACAGTATGAACTAGATGCCTCAGAAAATCTATTGGCATATCTGAAAAATTCCTGTAATCGGCATAAGCTGCATCCCACGTGTAGATTGGGAGCCTGAGCCTGTTCTCTGGCACAGGGCAGTGGGGGACCTTGTGTCTGCTGGGCAAGATCTGCTGCTTTGCAAGAGCCTCTGCCACTGCTGGCCCCTGGATAGGAACGTCCAGAAGCATACCCTATTGCACAGGGTATTTAAGGAGGCTTCTCTTTTATTTAGATTTGTTTTATAAAATAGCCAATTTATTGGAAAATAAAGGGAGAGTTCTGTGTGTCATGTTGTTCTTCATCTTGGTTCTTGAAAGGCTTCCACCCTAAGTCTTAAGTCTTTAAACATGGGCTGGTGAGGCTGTAGGAGTGGATGGAACCTTGTGTTCCTCTCCAGTGTGCTGGCCAAGCTGGAGCAAGTTCCTCCTTAGGATTGGTTTTCACTTTGCATCAGTTTCTGAACTTACTTTGGGAGCCAGCATTTTAACTCCTGGTCTCTTCTGGGCACGTTGTCTTCCTTTTTTGAAGGATTTTGAACAATTCCCTCTGATGTGAGTATTCATCAGATGGATGGATTTGCTCATGAACAAACTGTAAAGAAGCATGTGAAGAGAACAGCTCATCTGTTTGTGTAGCTTATAGGCAAAGGGCAAAATCAAAAATTATCTTACAAATATCTCAGCAGTAAATTTGTGGGGTTTTGCAGATCTAATAAAAGAGCCAGGCTGGTGGAACCCGATTGCTAACCCAGAAGGTCATCAGAATGGAGGAACTGAAGTTACAGCAACACTAGGAGTCTTTTGTACCCAGCACACATTGGCTGGGAGGGAAAGGGGGATGTTACAAAAGGCATCTCTCATCCCTCTAGTTCAGTTTATCAGCAGCTCCTGTGGGAACATTCACTGGAACACTCTGCTGGTCCTGCTCTCAGGTTTCTACAGGAGGAATTGCTCGTGATGCTGAGAACAGCTCCATGAAGTGTGTGTGGCTGTAAAGTGATGGAGATGCAGAGGAAGCAGCCATTGCTTCCTCCACAGAGCGATGGGCTGTGAGCTGCCTGCTGCTGCTAAGGAGCAAGACCTTAGGTTATCAGAGTTGATTCTGGAAAAGCATCATCTGAATGCTTAATAAGGGTCAAAACCCCCCAAATCCAGTCTTAAAACTTGGAAGAAGAAAATAGGGAGTAAAAGAAATAGTGTCCTTTATAAGGCTGCGGTTTGCCAAAAATTGGAATAATTTATACAGTTCTACCTTCTCTTCCCCTCTTGACCTCCACCCCAAGATCTCAAGAAAGAGTATCTTTAGGACTGGAAGAAATTCAGTGTGGAAAACCAATAATGTTCAGTCATGGAATGGGGTGGGAGGGAGCTCAGGAGGTCTCATTGTAACCTCCTGCTTGGAGCAGGCTCAGCTTTGGGATTAGACCACAGTGCTTGTGGCTTTTCCAATTTGGTCTTGAAAACCATCAAAGCTGGAGACTGCACAGCCTCTCTCAGCTACCTGTTTCATTTTATTTTATGATAAATTTCTCCCCTGGTTCTTCTACAAAAAAAAAAAATACCCCAAAAGCAAAAAGCCACTCAATGTCTAATATCCTTGAGGAGAAATGCAAACACCTCGGAAAGGCCAATCTAAGCAATTAAATTTACAGTGTTATTTGATGGATTTGTGGACTTAGTAATTGAGGTATTGGTTTTGCAACCCTTGCATTTCAGTTCCCTTCCCCCTCCACATTCTCCCCTCTCCATGTTGCCAACCCAGACACTTCCCTCAGGTGAGTTGCCTGGTTCTTGCAGGAGGTGCAGCTCTGACATTTCTTTCCCCCACTCTTCCCTCTACTAATGTGATTTTTTTTTCCTCCACAGGTACCACTTACCTTTACTCTCAGATGTGAAATGTATTAAAGTATTCAGTTAAATTTAGAGATTTTTTTTTTATCAACTGATACTTAGCTTTGATGTTTTTCATTTCTGTTGTAGACCTAAAGAAAGCTTGTTCTGCCCAAAGGCTGTGCTGGTTTTTGTTGTTGGTTTGTTTTTTTTTTTCTTAACTAAAATATTATGGTCTAATAAGATTTGATCTCTCTCTGTAAATGCTGATTTGCTGATGTCCTTAGGCCATCAGAGCTACAGTGGCACTTCTGCCATAAACTTATTGACTTCTTTTGGAAAGGGAATTTACCCCTCTTTGTAGAAGCATGATTCTGTTACAGAGCTGCACACAATGGACTCCATTAAATACATGGGTGTATTTTAAACAGATTTCTGCTGTAGTTATGGAATGGACTTGACCTTTTATCAGAAAGATATCTACTACTAGAGGATTTTCCAGACTGTTTTCCAAAGAAAGACACTCCTCTTTGCAGATTTGACTTTTGTAAGAAGATGGTGCTTTTTGGAAAATTTGCCCTTTGTAGCAAATACCTCTTCAATTCACAGAGAACCATAATGTTTTGGGGGTGCCTTCCCCTCCTGAAAAACTTGGAACTAGCTGATCTTTAAGATCCCTTTCAACCCATGTCATTCCATTCTCAAACACTGCTTTTCAAGTAGCCCCTCCACTTCTGTGGGACTGTTCTAATGAATACTTCACTGAGTAGGCTAGACAGTAAATTTGCAAAGAGGTGAAGTGTACTGGGCTTTCAGAATAGCTCTCAGAATCTCTGGTTGTCCTGAGGTCCCCAGCCCTCGCTGTGAATTCAGCAGGAGCTGCACTGTGTCCTGCTCTGGCATCGGTGGTGGCTGGGGCCACGTCCTCCTCCAAACACCTGTGCCTGTGGAGTGACTGGCCACGAGGGGAATCTGTCCAGGCAGTGGGATATTTTGGTGCATGTTTTTATGTGGTGCTGTGTGTGAAGGTCCCATCTGCATATACATTTAATGAATTCTGTGAGGGGTACTTAAGGAGTGACCTATAAAGGTCCTCTGTTTGCAGCTCCTCAGTATCATTGGCCCAAATGCCCTTTCTGTCCGTTCATTGTTGAAATACGTGGGTGTGGATGTGCTTTCCTGTTCCAGGGAGGGCATATGAAAGGCTTGTGATGCAATGCAGTGTTCACATTAATGAGCTCTGGCTCAGATCAGTTATTTATCTGTCCTTTTTGTCTCCTCTCTTGGATCAACACTGTTCAGCATTGTTGGAATGCTTTATTTTAACCTACCTGGCCTTACCTTCCCAGGAGCTCAGAATAGCTTGGCTTAAACCTCAGCTCTTAGAGACTGAGGGAATGAGAGACATGCCTGGCTGTATTTCAGCCTTGGAGTAGGAGTAGACAGATTCAGCCTCTGTAACTCAGGATAAGAAGCAGCAGCAGTCCCTCTGTTCCAGAGGTGGCAATTTGGAGATCTCTGCTGATCTCTCTCATCCCATACTCAGGGCCACTGCGTGTCTTTTCCCAGTTAAGGCAAGATGGAACAAGGCACTTTTGATCCTTTTTGTCCCCGGAGCAACCTGGACAGTTTTGCTTTCAGGTCCTTCTGTAGTTTTTGGTATGGAGCAGACACTACCCAGTGCCTTATCTTTGTGGGAAATTTTAACTTTGCAGCAGACCCCTGACCTTATTTAATCTTGTAGCATAGACGTTAGATACAGCAAGGGATTGCGTTTTGCTTCTAGTTCCAAATCATCCATGTGCTGATTAATAATGGGGAGGAATCCTCTTGGAAGACTTTTTCCCAGCAGTGGAGGTTTGTGGTTTGGTGTGGTTTCCACCAGTGTCCTGTTTCAGCTTGCTTGCCTGATGCTTTGGGTCTGTCCCTTCAAACTGAAGTCGGTCTGTTTTTCACTAGAAATGCAGTGCATCTGTAGCATCAGTGGGAAGACTTTTCTATTCCCCCACCTGTAGCTTCCTGGTGGAGAAATCCTAACAGCATTAGAAGTTTTCCTTTTAAGCTTTTGGTGGGATGGTCCTTGTATTTTTGCAATCTAATTTATTCTTAATTTTTCTGTGGTAGTGGTCTTTATTTGGTAGCAATTGCCTCAGCTAGAAGGATTGAAGTGCTTCAAGCATTTATAGCAGACTCTTTGATTCTTTAAGATGACATTTGGAACTCTTGATAGATTTTTACATAACAGCATCCCCAGCATCCCCAAGGCTCCTCTGCTGGTTTTTTTGTTCTAACCTGGAAGGGCTGCAGCTGGAGCAGCTCTGTACACGCTGGGGGCTGGGGGACCTGCCTCTGTCTTTATTTGCAGGATGAGGCTTTTCACAGGGAACACCTTGTTTGTTTCTATGACCAAAAAAGTCCAAAGGAGTGACTGTTTGAATCCAAGAACCTTCTCCCGATTAACTGTGCTGATGGTACAAGTTGTGCCATGGGGCTTTTAATCAGGATTAATTCAGAGAGAGCTCAGAAATTACCACTCTTCCACTTAACATGAAGTTATAACACGGAGGTCTCTCAAGAGGCTGATGCCTTGGAGAGGCAAGTTCTTCAGTCTTATTCAAGTGGAGGTTAAAAAGCTTCTTCCATCTGTCTTGAGAAATGAGGTATTTATTGCTCTGAATTACTTACAGTGTGAATGCACATAGAGGCCATCATTTCACACTGGCACATTAGGTGGAGTTACTGACCTGTAACGCTTCTCCTGTCTTTATTTCTTTGTGAAGTGCATCAGATCAACTTGGGGAATGTTAATGGAAGATGTCAAACCACTTTCCCTTTTTTTTAATAGTGTGTGAATTCACTTTTACTGTATTACTTGATTTTATAAATGTGGGCCACTTTTTTTCCTTCACAATGATTTTAAAGACATGAAAGGAAAAGTGTTACTTGCTACAAAATTCTAAACTGTCATTGTTTGGAAAACAATCAGTTCTTAACCACCTTGGGATTCTGATTTGCTTAAAAAGGCAAAAAGTTACAAACATATCTGACTGTCAATGTAAGGAGGCTTTAGGCTGGAACTTTGTGGCTGGAAGGGTGTAAAGGGACATGTAATGACCACCATTGTGCTCCTTTCAGGGCCCAGAGGTTCTGGTTTTCCTGTATCTTGATGACCATTTGGTGGGTCTTCACAAGAGAAGACCTGCTCCAAGTTCATTCTGCTCTTATGAAACATCCACTTTGACACCAGTCAGCGATGGTCTGATGGGTTTGCTGGGGCCACACTCATCCTTGGGCAGGGCTGTTTCTGTGGGGAAGCTCTTCATGGCTTTAGAGGATGGGTTTATTTTGTGTTGAGCTGAAGGATCACCCTTTGGTGAGTGCAGGTGTCTCTTCTGGGATGCAGGGCTACCTCTCTCTGGCATCCTCAATGCCAAATGTAATTTTTGGATTCATAGCTTGACTTTGCCACTGCACTTCCAGGAACACCTGCCTCTGCAGGTACTCCACAGATACTCTGTGTCACGAGTGAGTTCCTCTTTGTGTTTCTATGCATGTACCAGTCCATGCTTTCCCTTCACTTGCTTCAGCAGTGTTGGATGTCTCCATCCTGGGATAGAGTCGTGGAGTAGATGTCTGCAAGGGACCTCAAAGATCATCTGGTCCAACCTTTCTTGGCAAAAGCACATCTAGAAGAGATAGCCCAGCACCCTGTCTGGCTGAATCTGAGGTGTCCAGTGCTGAGGAGCCCACTGCTTCATCTCACTGTGAAACAGTTTCCTTTTGAAATAGGGTTTCTCTCTGACCTTTGTGCTCAGGGGTAGAACCTCTACAAAGCTCAAACATGTCAACATGGCCTGAAAAGTTTCTTGCCGTAAATTTGGGGGCACTGTGCAAGTAATGCTGTGTGTTAATGAATAAGGTAATGCCATGTGCTTTGTGCTTGCAAACCTTTAGAGGAACAGGCAGTTTATGGAGGCTGGAGGACCCGTGTGAGGCTTGCTTTCATGTTTGCACTCTGGGTGAGACTGAGCTTGGGCTCCCTGTCAGACACCTGCTGGGTGGGAGTGCTGTGGAATGGACATAGTGCCTCTCCACCTGCAGAGAAGTTAATCCTTGCCTAGCTCAGAAAGTTCTAGTGTTGGATTTTCTTCAGTTCCTAGTGGAGGATCTTTTGTCTGCTTGTTTTGTCTCTTGAGGCAGGATTCAGCACAGATCCTGCATCTGGATTTAGCTGCCCCAGCTTAGATGCAGAATGGCTTTTCTTAAATAGAAGACTTGTTTTCTCCCCTGTGAGAGGTGTTCTCTTTGTCAAAAGAAAATCTATACCAGAGAGAAGTCGACTCAGTTATATATCTGGTGTTTACTCAGGGCCAGGATGTTGAGATATTTCCTTGGGCTTGAGGGATCTGCCTTTGTCCTGCAGTTAGTCAGCAGTACATTTGTTATTTCTGTACCTCTTCTGAGGGCTCAGTGGTGTTCTCACCCTTCCAATTAAACTACGAGTCTTGGTCAAAGCCCCTCCCTTTTCCCAGGATACCTGACAAAGAGGGGAATTTAAACTGGGCATTTACATGTGCACTGTCCAGAGTACTCTTGCTCAGGTGCTCAAGCAGGTGGCCTTTCTCATGGCTTCCCACTAACAAGGTATCTTTGGGGGTGTGCCTTTCCCATCCACTGCCTGCTTCCTTTCCCTTCATCCTTGCAGTGTTTAATGCCTCCCTTTGAATTACATGGTGAGAAAAACTGAGCCTAGAGGGGCTTGCATTAGTGCACCAACTTGCATTCCTGCTTCCATTTGGCAGGACTTGGAGCTAGTTGAAGTGCTTACTGTCACCCAGACTGAATGAGCCCATGGATTGTATATCTCCAAAGAGTCAATTTGCTTCTAATTCTTTGCCATTTTATGAAATAGTGATCATGTGTCTCTGGAGCTCAGTAGCACTCCAGCATTTCATGTGTTGAAAACATTCTTGCTGGTACAGGCAGCTTTGCACGTGTTTAAAAATTCAGTGAGGGAGATACTCTTTTGATCCTCAGTGCAAATGTTACCCAAAAAACTTCACAGAGGCTGTACCGTTATTTTAATCTTTCCAGCTTGCATTTCTGTGCGAGACCTTAATTGAATATTTTCAAGAGGCAGTTGTGCTCTACCTTGACCTTTCTTCAGCTCTGCCCCCCCAGCAGTGGTCCCTTTGAGAGCAAGGGCAAAGCTGGACTGCAGGGCTGTCTTCTGCCAGAGATTAGATCCCTTTGCTCTGAAGGAAGATGTGTCTGCATTGGAATATGCAACTGAAAACGTTGACTTTATGTTCTTTACTAAAAGCTTTGATAGCAGTTTGGCTTACAGTGTACTCCAGTAAATGGTACTGTGAGGGATTGTCCTAAATGTCAGCTTTGACTTGCTTGTATGTTGTCTTAACATAATTCCTCAAAATAGCTTCACTGTTCTGGGAAAAACAGCAGCTTTTGCTTTTTTCTGCCTCAGTAGGTAGAAAAAACAGAATATGGAAGTAAAAAAATCTGATGTTGTTTTCCCCAGAATTCTTTTTTTCTGTTTCACAAGTGACATAAATTCAGAGCAAACTGTCCAGCAGGTGAATCCTTACAAGTGGTATCTATACCACTGATAAAAAGGTTGAAGAATCTTGAGAAAATTTACATTAAATAATTTAGATTCACAGGGAAAATGTTTTAACTCATAGAATTTTGAAGCAAGGGGCTTCGGCACTGGGAGTTCAGCACTACTTACCTTGACATGGCAGTGGCTTTGCAGCTGTTCCTCAATAACTGGTGATCAATAAATCCGTGTACCTGAGTGGGCAAAGCCCTGACAGCCTGGTTGAACTCCAGGCTGCCCCTGCCTTGGGCAGGAGGGCAGGCTGCACACCTGGGGAGATCCCTTCCAGCCTGGCTTCTCCTGGGATACTTGGATGTGTGTGTATGTATAAATGTGTAATACTAATGTATCATTTGTAAAGCCTTTGGGTGATTTCAGGTCTGGCTATAATAAACTTTCACTCTGCTGGTTTTCTTTGCCCAGTCTGCCACCAAGAAACCCCGCAAGTCTCCAGCAGACAAGGGTCGTTCCGAGTCCGGAGCCAGAGGAGCGAGTCGTGGAAGAGCTAATGGCCACCCTCAGCAGAATGGAGAAGGGGACCCTGTCACTTTGTTTGAGGTGGTTAAGCTGGGAAAGAGTGCTATGCAGGTAAAATATCTAATTGTGTCCCCCCTTCCCAGTTCCATGTGTCCTGATTGCAGGAGTTCAGTCTAAGCTTTTGTAAACAATTGTGTTTTCTCATAGCTATTGGTCCAATAGACTGTGTGTGTGTGAAGTATGGGACAGAATGGGCTTGGATTGAGGGCTGTCATATGTACTTCTGGAGGACAAGAGGCACATCAGAAAGTCATGCATTTCAAATTCTCCCTTGTTTTGTTCATTACCTCCAAGTTAAAAGTACATGTTGGTATTAAGCAACCCGTTAAAGAATATCCTGGAATCAGATTTATAGGAGGAAAAAGTATATCATATGAGTGATGGGTCCAAGGCCTGTTTTGTTCGCTGGTGTTTTCAGGAATAGCTGCTGACACAAGCAGTTTGGAGGACTTTGCACTACAGTTTGCATTCTTGCTGTCCCCACCAGAGCAGCAGATGAAGGCTAAAGTGGTAGCCTGGTCTTCCTCTGTGTCTGAGCGAAAACATGGACACGTCTTCAGGCAAATTTTCATTGCAGAACAAATCAGGCACTTGTAGTGAACTGCCTGTGGAAATGTTTCTGACTCCTTTTATGTTCAGAGGCCTTATAGGGTCTGTGGGCCACATGAGTCCACCTCTGGAGCCTCCAGAGATGATTGGTTTTGACAGTGCATGGCTTTAGTAAAGCTGCTGTGCTGCAGCCAGTGTGTTTGGCGCTCACAGGAGAGACACTGGGCCCAAAACACTGCTCAGCTGGGGCAGTGCAAAGCTAGCAGTCCTTCCTACTCAAGGATTGTTCAAGCAAACCTCCTTTTCTCTGCATTTCAACGGAACAGGGCTTGGGCAGTTATCACTTTGTTTGCTTGCTTTGGTGCTGACTAAGATGAGAAAATTACAAATTTTGAAAATGAGGTGCCAAGTCCCATTTGCAGTATCACTTTCAGTGGAGCTAAAAGCTGAGTCTGATGAGCTCCCAAAGGAATCAAATGTTCCAAATGAATGAAAGCTGTTGAAAATTTTCTTTCAGTCTCAAATCTGTGGAAGGTCTGAGATGTAATTTTAAGTAAGTAATGAACTGGTAGAAAATGAGAAATTTTTTTTCTTCAGTTTCTGTATTTACACTTATTCAGGATTGACCTTCTTATCTAGTAGGTGAAGACAGAACAAATTTGCTGCTAACAAAGCTACAGATTCCTTGTGCCTTTTTTGCCTGCATCAGAGCTTCCAACTTTGCTTGGTTTGCAACACTTTTTCAAATTTCGTTTTTGGCAGGATTTGAGGAAGCATCTGGAGTCTATTTGCTGGTTTTACTGTGATACAGAACATACAATATATTTCATGTAGTATGTTTGTCTTAAGAGTTATTGATATTTGCAGGAGCCAAATGAAAAGCAATGGGTGATTACTTTGATATTTAATGACTCCATGTGTGTGTGTGTGGGATTGACTTTGATACATGTCATCTGTTTCAAAAGAGATGCCACCAGAAGTCTGCAGATGAGATTCTAAAAAAAAAAACAAACACCTGTCTGCATGTTTGTATTAACCTTTGGAATTCAAATGCAAAGGAATTGTCCTGAAAAATGGAGCATTTGTATATGCACAGGTAGATGGCTGTGTCTGTGTCCTGGAGTGTAAATACAGACATCACATATATATGTGCACTCACATGCCCAAACCACCCAGCCCACATGGAGGAGAGAGGAGGAGACAGCACAGTCTGAGCAGGGGAGAAATTCCAGGCAAATAGTAAAGGAATAGGCAAGTGTATTTAAAGGCCTGGGATACAAGCAGGCATAAATGACTTGAGCCATCGTTTCAAGAGGATGTGTTACTTTTGCACCTTTGAAAAAGTTTCTGTTGGTAAAAAAATTAAAAAAAAAAAAAAAAAAAGAAACCCTGTAGTAGGAAAGAGAATGCAATTAAGATGTGATTTAATGTTTTTAACTTGCACTTCTGGACAACAGTCTCCTGTAAAACCAAGGTTCTATAAGCTAAACTCATTAAACTTTATCTATAAGATAAACTTATATTTGTCTATAATAGCTTAGGGATTTTAATGTCACAGTTAGGAATGCTTGACATTTCTGGTTTTCATAGTTTTGATGCAGATTTTTTGTGCTCAATCTTAGCAATTTTGTCAGTATTCCAATTTTCAAACAAGTGCCATATATTTGTATTTGTCAGAACCTATTGTTCCTCAATATTTACTTCTTTCCCTGTAATATGAACAGTCTTTTTTTTTTATAGTGCTCCCATGTTTCCTTCCAGCAATGAAAACCCAGGAAAACTCAATTAATATATCCTGAGATCACATGAGAATTGTGTGCTTTCGTTTCTGATCTATCTGCTCCTGCTGTTTGCTCTCAGGATTTATTTTAGTTGTTAGATTTTCCTGGCTTTGTGATGCCAACTCATGGAAGTCTGTAGCTGAATTCAATTCCCACTTCTTTTAAGCTTCTGCTCTATTTTGGTTCTCACAGCAGGATTCATTTACTACTTCTCTTCAGGCTTACTGCTGGTTCCTTCTTTCAGGGTCCCAAAGTCAGCTCAATATTTTGTATTTCACGTGTACATAACTTGGGGGCTGCTCTTTGCATAGTCTTTGCCTCTCTCACTCAGTGCTGGTTGTGTTGGTGCTCAGTGTTGTTTGGGCTCTGTAAATCCTCTGATACCCACGGGAAGTTGGGATCAGATCCTTGGCAGTGGGATTAGTTTGCTCTGGAACCCTTTGTACAGTCACTTGTTCAGAGGTTTTTCTGTCACAGCTCTTTGTGTGAAGTATGACAGGACATGCAGCTCGTTTTCTGCAGGTACATTTGTCAGCTTTCCTCCATTAAGACTGTTCATAGAACTTTTTTAGACTGTGCTTTTTATTTTCTTAAGCAAACATGGCACTCTCCTGCTTTTTATCATTTGTCTCTTCCGTTTATTTAGTTTTTCCTTCAGTAATTTTATGGAGACAGCTGCACCCACTGTATTTCCTCACTCCCCCTCCATAGGTAGAATGGGCTATATCAGCACTTCTCATGTACTAAACTACCTGACTTCACAATGGTGGGAATGAAGGACTGGGGGAACCTCCACTCCTGCAGCTGAACCCCCCAGGCAAAAAGTTCAATCTTCACAGGCACTTCTGCACTGCTCTCTGACCCTGGTGTGAAGCTGACAGTGAGCTAAAAAGCTTGAGATGATCCTAGATTTTGTTTAGGCCTCAGACTGGAAATTTCTGATATGTAAATTATGACCAATTTTCTGTAATGAAGTTTGTTCTCCTGTTGGTCAAACCAAGCAAAGTAGTGTTCTGCTTTCCTGTGTGCTCAGGGGGTTTGTTCCCCAGAACAGCAGAGAGAATGGATCCTCAGTGATTCTGGGAAGTGCTCAGGAGCAGAACACAAACAGATCTATGCCTCGATGACTCTGGGATATTCTGTGCTTTACAGTCACCCTTAACTGATGTTTGCAGGTCACAACAGATTAGAGGCTGACTTGGAAAAAAAACCTGCCCCCTCTGCTTGAGCTCAGCCAGTAAAGGTAATGCTGGTGTTGATCAGACATGGCCCAGAGTAAATGTGGCTCCACTGTGTGCCAGCTGCCATTTTAGGGGATGTACCCAAACAGAGCTTTCTAGTGTGCTGAAATGGAAGTTTTCACTGGGCCAACAGTTCTTTGCAGAGACCAGCAGTGCATGTGGTTCCTCACTGCTCTTGTGTGGACACCTTGGCACGTGGGCATTCGTGTCCTTTGAGTTTCCCCCGTCCCAGTAACGCTCCGTTTGTAGCACTGTGTTCCCTGCCACGAGAAGTTTCCTTTGTCTCTCATGTTTTGGTGCCTCAGGGCTGTGTCACCTTTGCACCTGCTGGGCTCATGGTGATGAGGTGTGGCTCTTGCTCACAGTGCTACCCTGGCCAGAGGGTTTGAGAAGAGAGCAGGAACATCAGGAAACCTTTTTTTCCCTTCAGTTGACTATCTGAAAGGATTCAAACTCTTTCATTATTACTAATTTAAAATATTTCTGAATTGTTAACAGTATTTTCCGTATTATTTTCAATATGATACTGATTTTCAGGGTTTATCCACCTCCCTGTTGCAGACTGAGGTTCTACATGCAGAAAAAAAGGGGATGCATCCTTACAAATCCACGTTTTTCTGTTGGAAGTAAAGGAAGCACTGCCCTCCTTTCATCAGGGCTTACTTTGTTCTCTATGCACTACATGTTAATGGTGTGGTTGCCACTTTCTTTTATCACAGTGGGTCAGGCTGGGATGACATTTAGTCATCAACATCTGTTTCTGAAATTATTTTCTGATTGGGATTCCTGGTACCTCCAGTCTTTTCTTCAGTCCTTTAGAGATTTGATGATCTGTACAAGAAATACAAGATAGTTCTTCCAAAGAGCTGGTACATCTTTATTGGTCTCATTAACGTGGCATATCCCTACAGCTTCTGTAGTTTTTGTATTTTCATGGCATTTAGGGGAGAAGTGGATGTGGTGCCTGTGAGAGCGAGGCTGCTCCTCTGGGGAAGGGGGTTGGTGGCCGAGCAAACCCCACTTTGTGCTCAGCTTTCTCGCCCGGTTCCTGGCACATCCTGCAGGGATTAAGCTTTGCTTTCCTGCTCTCAACAACCCCCCTGGAATTTCCCCTCGCAGTTATTTTAATCACCTAATCATTATGCAATATAGATAATCCCAATGGTCCTTCCTCCTTCCTTGTTATGTGCCTGCTTTAATCCTGCACGAACTGCGGCTGCCGATGAACGGGTCAGTCCCACCTTCTCCCGCTCCCACAGCTGATGGTTTTACACCTTTCTTGAGTGTTTTGTAGTCACACCAAGAAATAGATTGAACTAGAACATGACACTGGTAGATTTTTTTCAGCTGGATAAGCTTCTTGATTCAGCTCATCTCTGGCAGCAGCTCGGACTTACTCTTGATTAGAATGACTGTGTAACCATATCCACCTTACACAGGAGGAATTCCGTGTATGTTTTTACATATATACTGGAGATTA